GTGAATGAGGTTCTGATCACCAGATTTTCGCAGTCTTCCTCAATTCTACGATGGCCTTCGGACAGCGACCGACCCGACAGAATGTTCTGCGGCATCAATACCATGAGTGGTGGGATGCTGAAATTTTCGGGAAACTTCGCTACTCTCCCAAACTCTCCTCATTTTTGATCAGGGCTTTAGGGTCAGCAACTGGTACTGCACCAGGATCAGAAAAGTTTAAGACAGTGATTGATACCTGAAAGAACATACGGCCGTCAAAGCTGACTGAACGGTTATAAACAAACTGTTATCCGGCGTTGAGTTGCTCCAAAAGTATGAGTCGAATCTTTAGTGCAGAAGCTAAATGAACAGATCGAAACGGGTCTACTCAGTTATATATTAATAAAATCGCCAAACATTTTCGATTCCGATTAATCTATCATACAGTACACAGTTATCGACGCACAGTCCTCAGTCTTGATGATTGCATGATAATCTAGTGAGATCCAAAATGTGGGCCAGGTGCATCAGTGAAGAATATTTCGCATTCAATCGATGTTGAACATTACAAAATGCTACAAAATTCATTTCACAATTAATTCATATATTCCAATGTAACATCATATTTTGTGATTTACGCTGCACTCTCAACTCCTTTTCTAAGTTTTTAGTCACAGTATTACCGTTTGAAAAAATTTGCTAGAAAAGTCCTTAAGTCCTGATTGTCCCAATTTTTACGTTTCCAGTTTCACAACATATGGCACGTGTCTTCGCGGCTAAAAAAGTAAATCCCTTCTCTTGTATTTCATAGCCACGGCCTTTATTTGTCGTCTGAGAAGTAAATGCCGAAGTTCAAGTTCAATTCTTGTTATCCAAATCCAAATTGTTGGTTCGTCCAAATTATCCAAATTGTTGGTTTGTCATCAGATAACCTTTGGATTCGCTTTATGTTTAAATTTATTGAGGAGTATTCTGTCAATTTGTTGCGTGCTTGAATAATCCTCATTTCTCGATCCATGGCTCAAAGCAATAAACTGAGACGGAATGAGGCAATTTTCTATACTCGCCGACGGGTTTCCACACCTCGCGTCAGCGTCTTCATTAGGGCCATTTTACACAAACAAAACAGTGCACAAAGAGTAACTTATTTTTGAGTAGCGATGGCATTTATTCCGTTACTTATTCCTCGATAATCCTTCAG